GCACCTCCCAGCCCTACAGGCCTGTCTGTGCCCCGGGCTGACCACACGTGTGTGTGCGTGGCTCTGCCTCTCCCTAGCCGGGGAGCCTCCACATCACCCAATAGCCTGGGGTCTTGTCCCATCACTGAGCAAAGGTCTGCTGCCACAGAGGTTACAGCCACCTCTGCCCCATCCCCAGAGAGAGTGCCCCTAGGGCTGGGGTCGGCCACTGCCACCCCCTGTGCATGACCTGGGTCACTCTGCGCCTTTCCTCTTCATCTGTCTGGTGGGGACCTTCTCACTACTGGAGGCTCTGGGGTTCCCCACCTGGCCCCTCAGGGGTCAGAGCCTCATGTCCGGGGGCTTGTGCCGTTGAGGAACCTCCACGTCTAGATTGGAATAAAGGTTGCATTCAATGATCTCGTAAGTGCCCTGAAGGCCGCTCAATAATAATCGGGTCCCTCCACCACCACTCCACACCCCAGGACTCAAAGCTCCCCAGTGCACTGGACAGGAGTGACAGCATCATGGTGATGGCCCTGGGTTCAAATGACAGCCCCACCCCTTACCTGCTCTGCAGGCTGGGAAAGTGGCTTTGCTTCTGTGAGCTTCACTTCCTCCCTAGAGTGCAGACTACCATAGAATTCTGCAAAAAAATTTTTTTTAAATCTTGGAAAGAAGAGCAGGTCCTGGAACTGAGTGCCTGGCACAGTGACCATCGTTTTAAAGCACTCAGAATGAGCTGGTGTCAGACCTCCAGGGTTCACACCCTCCCTCTTTCTGGTCCCCATCACTGTGTGGTCCTGGGGACAGATGACTCTATGGCCAGATCTTCAGTTTCCCCCTCCATAAAATGGGTTTAAGAGGGATAGGGTATGGCTCAGTGGCACAGTGCTTGCCTAGCATGTGTGAGGCCCTGGGTTCCACCCCCAGAACCATTAAAAAAAAAAAGAATTTAGGGCTAGGTGTGGTGGCTCACGCCTGTAATCTCAATTAGGCAGAGATCAGGGGGATCATGGTTTGAGGCCAGCCTGGGCAAAAAGTAGCAATCAACAAGCTGGGTGTGTTGGTGCATTCCTGTAATTCCAGCTATGCAGGAAATGTAGGTAAGAGGATGGCAGTTTCAGAATGGTCCCTGGGAAAAATCCTACTTGCAAAATAAGTAAAGCAATTGAGCGCCTGTTGAGCAAGCTCGAGGCCCTGAGTTCAAACCTCAGTACAGAAAAAAAGTAAGAAAGAAAAAGAACTTTGTTAATATTCCTCTAAGTGGCTGATGTGGAATTGGACCTGTCTGCTGTCATCATAGCACACCACAGACTCAGCAGCTGAACAACAGAAATCAATTCTCTCAGTTTTGGGGGCCTGGAAGCCTGAGTGTGGGGCTGGTTCCTTGTGACCTCCCACTTCTGCTGGTTTCTGGCCATGGTTGGTGTTCCTGGGGTCCCCCCACCTCTGCCTCCATCTCTACATGGAGCTCTCCCTGTGGGTGCCACTGTGTCCAAACCTCCCCTTTTTATTTTATTTTATTTATTTTGAAACAAGGTCTTGCTATGTAGCCCAGGCTACATAGGATCCTCCTGCCTCAGTCTCCTGAGTGCCAGAAATCCCCTTTTATAAAGACACCAGTCCTGTTGGATTGGAGGCCCACTCTGGTGACCTCATCTTAACTAATTGCACCTGCAGTGACCCCTTTTCTAAATAAACTCTCATTTCCAGGTGCTGGGGGTCAGCACTTCAACATAGGAATTTGAGGGGAGGCACACAGGCCAGATCGTGACAAAGCCATAATTCAAGGCTCTATTTATGCAGAAATGGGTGGGTATCACACATTTTTAGTAACTAGATGAGGAAATGCCAGGAAGAGGCACTGTCCAGAGACCAGAGAAGCCCACAGAGGGACTTCAGCACCAGGGACAGCGGCCTTCAGGCTTTGTGGGATTTTCTTTGGTTTTTCTTCCCCCATCCCTGCAAAGCCCCAGATCGAGGAGCTGATGGATGTCAAGGTGGCTTGGGAGACCCAGCTCTACCTTCCCAGGGCCACCACTCTCCAAGTCCCACAGACAAGGACTTCACAGGAGAAAAAGAGGAAGGTTATTGACTTAACATCTGCCCGCAGCCCCGTTTCTTGTCAATCATGCCTGATTTCTGTGAGGCCTTAAGGCCAATTGTCTTGGCAGGATTCCTTTCCTGAAGAACTTAAGAAATAAAATTTAGAAAATAGAAATTTTGTGACTAGGAAGGCAAGCCCAGAATGATAGATGTTTGCCTCCCTTGTACCCAAAACAGCACAGCACACAGATCCTATGAATTCCTCCAAAGCAACGAGGTAGCCAACTTTCTTAGTAACTATCCAAATGAGCATTAAAGCCTCAGTGAAATACACCATCCCTGCAATGGCTAACATTTAGAAGGCCAGAAGATCTTGCTATTGGAATAGATCTCTTGTACACTCTTGGTGGGATCAGATACTGGTCCAATCCGCTTTGGAAAGCCGTCTGAAAGAATTGATAAGAGTTAAATAAAAACCTATATTATGAGTAGCAGTTCTATTCCTGCAGATGCTTTTGTGCATTAAAATACACAAAGCTGGGCGTGGTGGTACATGCCTGTAATCCCAGCACTCGGGAGGCTGAGGCAGGAAGATGGTAAATTCAAGGACAGACTGGGCTATGTAGTGAGACCTTGTCTCAGTGTAAAAAAAAGAAGAAACATAGACAGAAATGTCCTCCTGGCTGCTTTGTTTGTAACAGTCCCAAGCAGCAAAGCACCCAGGTGCCTGTCCACAGGCGGATGGTCATATAACCGGGAGTGCATTCCTATCAGAAATGGCTACACAGCGAGATAAAGGAACCAAGCCCCGATGTATGCAACCACCCGTTGGTGAAAGAAGTCAGTGTGTTTAGACTGCCACATTCTATTCCTCCTCCCCCCCCTCCTCCTCTTTCTTGGCAGCACTGGGGTTTGAACTCAGGGCTTTGTGCTTGCAAAGCAGGTGCTCTTCCGTTTGAGCCACATCTCTGTTTATTTTGGAGATGGGGTCTTGAGAACTGTTTGCCTGGGCTGGCCCTGAGCCGTGATACCCTGATCTCAGCCTCCCGAATGTCTAGGATTACAGCGTGAGCCACCAGCACCTGGCATGTTCTGTCTCTTGGTCTGGGAGATGATGACATGGCTTTATACTTGTCACATCCTAATTTACGTTCTGCACCTTGGGAAGGTAGTTGTAGTAAAAGATGCCCAGCCTAAAATCGGCCATCTTCTCCAAGATCAACGCACAGCTCAGTGGCCCTGGGCACTCCCATGGCTGTGCCGCCGTCCCCACCGTCCACCTCTAGAACCTTCCATGTCCCCACACTGAAGCTCTGTCCCATCAACAATTAACACTAATCCCCTTCTCCCCTCCCAGCCCCTGGCACCACCATCCTACTTCCTGTCTCTGTGGCTCTGTGACTCTAGGGACCCGAGAGTGGCGTCCTGCAGTGTGTGTCCTCTGCGACTGGCTTCCCCCCACCCTGAGCATGAAGTTTCCAAGGTCCATGCATGAAGTAGTGCGTGTCACCACTCCGTTCCTTTTTAATGCTGAGTAATATGTCATTGTGCAGAGGGACCTTCACTCACCCATCCACCGGGCGACCTCGCTTTGTCCATGGTAAATCACGCTGCTGCGCACAGGTGCCCAAGCCCCTCTTCTGGTTCCGCTCTCCATTTCTGGAACTATGTACCCAGAATTCTGAGGACTTCCGTGGTTTTTGGCCACCTCAAACCATTTTCAGCCCTGCCTGGCGCCCGCCTCCCTGCCCAGGGCTCCAGGCGACTTAGAGCAGGGGACAGGAGCAGCCCGTGGAGCCGTGGTGACGAGCACAGCTTTAATGAGCTCCCGGGGCTGGACGTGGCCCCTCGGAGCGCTTCCCGGGACCACGCAGGAGAGGCCCCGGGCCTCAGCTTGGCGCAGCAGGGCAGCCGTTGGGGGGCTGCACAGGCAGGCTGCAGAGGGACAGAGGCTGGGGGCCGCAGCCCTGCGCCTACCCCAGGCCCCAGACCCCTTGTCTGCCGCCCCCCACCCAGCCTGGGCCAGCGTCTCTCGAGGGGCCTTGAGCTCACTGGCCTTTTCCTGGAGGCTTCTCTTCTCTCAGCTTGTTTCTTTCCGGTCTCTCTTTAAATTTTTTATTAATAAATTAATTAACTTTTGCGGCTCCGGGGATGAGCCTAAGGTCTGGTGCTCCTGGGCAAGCGCTCACCACTGGGCTACACTGTCAGCCCTCGTCTCTGCTCTTCCACCTGCCACGCCCACCCCAGGACGGCACCCAATCACAGCCCAGCTCTGGACCACTTTAGGGTTGGCCCCGCCCCTCGCCTCTCCTGATTGGCCCTGCCTTTTCCCACTGTGCCACACCCACTGCCCCTGTCATCTCCCAGCCTCGTCTCTGATGGGGAAACTGAAGCCCAGCGAGGCAGCGGATGATGCAAGGCCTCGCAGCCGGCAGTGGCAGCCGCCCCTCCCTACGCACTGGGACCCCTGCGTCCCTTCCCTCCGCCACGTGGGCCTCGCCTCCCTTAGCCCTCTTAGTATCTGGGCAGGCCTCCTCCCTCCCTCTTCCCCAGTCACTCTTTGGGGTGCATAGCTGGGGGAAGGAGGGAGGGCTGAGCCATCTCCAGAACTTTCCATGTCATGCTGAAGCTCTGTCCCCATTAAACACCAACTCCTGTCCCCTCCCCAGCCCTGGCACCCACAAGTCCACTTCCTGTCTCCGGATTCCCTGTCCTGGACGTGTCCTATCAATGGAGTCACAGGCTGGGGGCTTGTGTGTGGTCTGCTTCTCTCACTGAGCACCGTGTCCTCGGGGTCCTTCCGTGTTGTGGTGTGTGTCAGAGCCTCGTCTTGTTCGTGGCTGACTAATATTCCACCATATGGACGGACCATGCTGTGTGTCCATCCATCGGTTATGTTCACCTTGGCGCCCTGGTGAGTCACTGCTGTGCGTTTCCTCTTCTCTCACCTACTATTTCTCCCCACCCCTCAGGCTGTGCCTTCCTCACCTACTGTGCCAGGGACTCCGCCATCAAAGCTCAGACTGCCCTGCACGAGCAGAAGACCTTGCCCGGGGTGAGTCCTGCGCGGTATCTGGAAGGAGGGGACAGAAGTGTCACTCCAAGCCAGGGGGCCCAGGTCCTTCCTGGGGTCAGCTGTGAAGTCCGTGTGCCTCTGGACAGAATGAACATTTAAAGCCTACTGCATGCTGTGACACTGTTTCACAGGAGAGTGGTTGTGTACGGTTGCACAGGTTGTATACTGCACAAGCATATCTGGCCAGCATGCGTCATTGGACTGAGACTAAAAGATGAGGAAGCATGTACAGGCAGAAGGTACGACCTGTGCCAAGGCCCTGGAGCAGGGTCAAGCTCAATGTGTTGGGAGAGCAGAGGAAGCCTGTGTGCCGGGCGCAGAGGGAGTGAGGGGACAGAGGGAGGAAGAGAGGCAGGGAGGGGGTAGGATGGGACATTCAGGGGCTGTGTGCTGCAGGGAAGAGTCTAGACCCTGCCTGCTTGTCCCATAGAAGGGGAAATAGAGCTACATGTCCCTGTGGAACAGACGGAGCTACTGCCTCCTGATGCAGGCTGGGTGGTCTTTCCATCTGTGCAGGTGCTGGCTCGGGCATGGTCTCTGGTCTGTCCTCCTGTCGGCCCTGTCCTCTTTGGGTGGGCAGGAGGTCCCTGCTGCCGGTGAAGGTTGGTGGCCCCACAGCCAGCAATCCAGGACTACAGGCAGTGCTTCTTGATGGAAATCCAAGGAACACAGTGCACTGGGCATCCTGCCTGAGACCTCTGGGGGTCCAGCCTTCCCTCTGGAACTCCCAGGGACCCTTCAGCCTCCAGGGCAGTCAGCAGCATTGGTAGCCATCAGTGCTTTGCAGACAGTGGGAGGAAATCTGAGGTGCTCCTTCTGGGGATAGGAAGCCAAGGCTTGAGTTTGGCTTGGCTCTCAATAAATATCAAAAGGTCGTAGGGCATACCCCAGCCTCTTTTTGAAGACTAAAAAGCCCCAAATGGGGGTGTGATGTGGCTCAGGCCAAGGAGATGCACCGTGGTGCTCTGTTCCATTGTGTCCTTGCTGTGTGATGGTGAGCTGGGGACTTAACCTTTCTGATCTTTGGCACTGGAAGAATGTAACAGGTCAGGGTGGGGGAAGAAACTGCAGAGAAGGTGGTCATAGAGGCCTGCTCTGAGGAAATGACATTTTTTATTTATTGATGGATTCTTTTGGCAGTACTGGGGTTTGAACTCAGGGCCTCATGCTTGCTACACAGGCACTCTACCACTTGAGCCACCCTGTCAGCCCAGAAATGACATTTTAGAAGAAACCTGTAACGTACTGTATTAGTTTTGTTTCTGTTACTATAATGACATACACGAGACTGGGAACTGTAATAAAGCAGAGAGGGTTAGTTAGCTCACAGTTAGGGCATGGTGCTAGCATTAGCTTGGCTCTTGTGAGGTCCTCATGGAGGATGACATCGCAGTGGTGGGAGCCTATGAAGAATCAGGAAGTCCAGAGGGAAGGAGCAGACAGTCCCACTCCTTTTATAATAACTCACCCTCTCTTTCCACAAGAAATATGTTATTGCAGCTGGGCCCAATGGCTCACGCCTGTAATCCCAGCTACTCAGGAGTCAGAGGTCAGGAGGATCATGGTTTGAAGCCAGCCTGGGCAAATAGTTCACAAGACTGTCTCCCAGAAAAAACCCATCATAAGAAAGGGCTGGTGGAGTGCCTCAAGGTGAAGGCCCTGAGGTCAAACCCCAGTAGCATAAAAAAAAAAAGTGATCTCTAGCCTGTTAAATAAATACCCTAAATTCACACTTCTTCCTTCTGTGACCTTCTGCCAGTGCCCCCCCAAGCCAGCCAGAAGCTGGAGGCCGGGCTCAGCCCAGCCAGGTCAGCACTCAGGCACAAAGTTCTTTTTTTTTCTTTTTTTTACTCATTTATTCACATGTGCATACATTGTTTGGGTCATTTCTCCACCCTGCCCCCCTCCCCAACCTTCTTCTCCCCTACCCCCCTCTTCCCCCTTCCCCCGGGCACTGAGTTCTGAGGACGTGGGACCGTGCCAGCTCCCCACTGCTGTGTGACAACTTGGTGCACAACACAGCGCTTCGGTGACAATCACTGGCTGTCTCACAGTTGCCAGGGACCTGACATTTGGGCTGAACTTTTGATGTGATCCTGACATCTTGGTTGTAGTCAAGATGTCAGCTGGAGTTTGACCGTGGCCGGGACCTTGCTTCCCAGCGGGCTCCCTTGCTGTGGCTGCGTGGCCTCAGTCCTTATTCCATCAGTCTCTCCATGGAGTTTCTTAAGCATCCTCACAATATGGTGGCTGGCCTCCCCCAGAGTAGGTTCCCAAGAGTGACTAGGGAGGAAGCTGCAGCCCTTATGACCCAGCCTCAGGATCGGGCGTGTTTTATTCCCACCACTTCTAGCAGGAGCCCAAGGCGCAGGGTGAAGTGGCGTTGGGGGAGGGAGAGGAACTAGAGAGGCAAGCCAGGCTACATTCGACTCATGCAGAGCCCGGCCAACCGTGAGCCAGAGTTCACGCTGAGATCTTCATGCTCTGAGCCCAGACCCCACGCTAGCGGCCAGTGCCTCTGCTAGAGTCCTGTGCCCCTCAGTCAGGTGGGCTACTTCCTTGTGGGGCTCCCACCCACCCACCCATTCTTCCTCCCATTCAACCATCCAAAATGCATCCATCTATCCACCCACCCACCCACCCACCCATCCATCTTTCATCTATCCATTTATCCTTTTATCCACCCATCATTCCATCCATCCATCCACCATCTACCCATCCATCCATCCACCCGCCCATCCACCCATCCATCCATCCATCCACCCGCCCATCCACCCATCCATCCATCCATCCACCCATCCATCCATCCACCCACCTATCCACCCATCCATCCATCCACCCATCCATCCATCCATCCACCCACTCACCCATCCTTCCATCCACCCATCCATCCATCCACCCATCCATCCATCCACCCACTCACCCATCCTTCCATCCACCCATCCACCCATCTACCCACTCACCCATCCATCTTTCATCTACCCATCCATCCATCCATCCACCCGCCCATCCACCCATCCATCCATCCATCCATCCGCCCATCCATCCATCCACCCACTCACCCATCCTTCCATCCACCCACCCACTCATCCATCCATCCATGCCCCCACCCACCCATTCTTCCTCCCATTCAACCATTCAAAATCCATCCATCTATCCACCCACCTATCCATCCATCCATCTACTCACCCACCCACCCACCCACTCACCCACCCATTCATCCATCCACCCATCCAGCCATCCATCCATCATCCACTGTCCACCCATCTACACATCCATCCATCCTTCCACCCATCTGCCCATGCTTTCATCTACCCACGTACCCATACCCCTGTCTTCTCTTTGCTAGGCACTATGGTAGACCTCTCTCACCATCTCCTACACAGTTCCCCCAGCTGTCCCCAAGTCTCCCACTTGGCAGGGTTCAAACTTCCCTTGACACCCTCTTTCAAACCAGTTTTTCTCTACAATTCCTAGGCAGCAATCCCTCCTTCCTCCCCTCGCCCCCATAGCCCATGGTCCCCACATCCTGCTCCCCGAGGTTTTCCTTCATCACCTCCTCCCCCTTCTGCTTCTGTGGTCCCCTTAGGTCAAACTTCAGCTCCAGCCTCACTGAGCCATGTGATCTTGGACAAGCCTCTTCCCTGTGGGCATCGCCTCCTCCACCTGACTTGGCTGAGGGATTTTGAGAAGTGAGGGCATGAAGCAGATACTATTTTTGGCAACATCAAATACCATTTTTGGCAATGTCAAAGCTCTTGTATGTTGGTTCACAGCCATTCCTAAATCCTAGAAGTTCTTGCTCCTGGAACAGTGAGGACTAGCCAGGGCCCTGGCCCCTCAGGTCCTGCCCAAGAACTTGGAGGGCTGTCATTATATGGGAGAATTTCCACCTGCATATGAGGGAACATCCCTTCTCCTTCTGCCCATCCCTGAGCCCTGGGTTGGGGGCTCTGTGTCTGGCTCTGCCTCCCCCTATAGTGGGCACCCTGGGCTCCAGATTCCAGGCCAGATCTCCAACATCCATTGGTTCCTGCAACATTTATGAAGTACCAGCTGCAGCACAGGACAGGGACAGAGAGGACTCAAGAATGAGACAGCTCCTAATGGTGAGGAGAGTGCCAAGAAACTAAATGGGGTAATTTTCAGAGCAACGACTCAGGACGGGGGTTCAGTTTAGATGAGGTGATTAGGGAAGACCTCTCTGAGGGGGTGATCTGAAAGAGAGGAGGGAGGGCATGTCTGGCAGAGGGAACAGCTGGTGCAAAGGCCCTGGGTAGGACTGCACCTGATGCTTCCATGTGACCATCGCTGAAGTGAGAGGAGGCAAAGCTGGGTGTCTCCATGTCCCAGGGCAGCTGATCAAGTGATAGGAATTTCCTCCTCTCACAGTGTGGAAGCCAGAAGTCCAAGCTCAAGCCACCTCTGGAGGCTCCCAGGGAGAGCCCATCCCCCACACCCATCCCCAACCCCCTCCCAGCCCTGCGCCATCTTCCCATGGCCTCTCCTCTCTCTCATGTCCCCCCTCCTTTCTCCTGTAAAGACACCTCGCTGGGGATTGGGGCTCACCCCTCAACCAGGATGACCTCATCTCAAGGTCCCCTGCCTCAATCCATGGGCAAAGAAAGAACCTTTTCCCAAATAAGGTCACACTTTGGGTTCCCAGGGACAGGACATGCATATGTCTTCTGGTGGGCACCATTTGGCTCACAACAGAGGGTGACTACAGCATGAATGAATGGCCAGATGTTAGGGTGGCGAGGGACAGGTCACCAGGGATGACCCCATAGTCCTGTGAAGGTTTTAGCGAAGGGCAAGCCGGGCAGCGTCTTGGAGGAGGGAGCAGTGGAGCTGGGTCTGCAGCGATGGAGGCTTTGGACAGATGGAGGTGGGGACGGGGGTGGTGTGGAGACACAGCGTACCAAGACAGAGGCATGCTGTCACGTGTGGGAACACTCGGGAGCCTTCCTGGACTGACA